AATGCTTACCAAAGCAATGCACATTTCAAAACAATGTACATAATATACAGAGCTTGGAAGGGTGTAATTATCTATGAAAGTATTGACAACTTGATTTCTGTTAAATCTAAAGAAAGTAAAATTTGACATTCATATCTGATTAATAAATGGCTTAACTTAAACTTTCATGTCCATTGTGAATCTATGAGAGGTTAGGTAAAACAAATCCACACACCTGTCCATATACTTTTGGATGTTTTAACGTTTTTATAGTATACTCAGTTTCTGAGGCTGTAGTTTGTTGTGCTGCTGTACTGGATTGCAAGCTGAGTGCCTGCACTACTCACAGGGAGTTTGATGAAGGTGTCTTTAGGAGAACTGTTCACATAGAGTCTGGTCTGGAAAAAACCTGGGAAGGAGGGCCGATGACGCAGAGACATCCAGTGGCCTGAACTCTCAAGTCTGTAAAAGGAGAATACATTGCACTTTTCTACTGGATGTTTCATGGCATGGCAGTACAACTCTCGGTTCTGTAATCTATTTAACAGATACATTCTGCATACATTGTCAGTCTCGACATTTAGGTGTCCAGTGTATCATGTCATTCCTATTTATATGTATTAAGTAAATGTCAAGTGAAAGTTTGGACATGGATGCCAGGGGAAATATACAGAATCACTATATTTGTTTTGGCTATACAGTAGGTTATATTTTGCCTCCAAGTAAATTTAAAAGGTTGCCATAATATAAGACCAAAATTCCTTCCTCTGTTATGCATTTTTAGTGTTCATTCATGCAGGGCTTCGGGCCTTGACATTTTCATGATGGTGCTGAGGTAAAGAAATTGCAATTTCTCAGTACATGAGGAGAGACACAAAAACGACTTGGAAATATATCAAGATAGTCCATTAAGTGCAAATATGTAAACAAACAAAAATGTCAGCTACTCCTACTGACCCTGGTGTTTCATATCTGTGCAACAATATGAGATGCATACCGGTCTGAATAAAACATAAGAAAACCCCTAGAAATGATCAATCAATTTTGTGATTGGGAAGGGTTGTGGAAGATGCCTGACTTCAATCTGGTGTTAATGACACTAATCTTGCATGTGATCAGCAATGTACAAGGAGGTCATTCTAATCTTGTAATATGGAAACATAATGACAGATATTCATTTGCACCTTGGAGTGCAATGGGATCATGCAAATTACCTTAAAATGCTTGGCTGTTGTAGATAAATTACCAAACCTAATGACTATTATGGGATTGATGCCACATTAAACAGGTCCACGTTTAACAGTTAAGACAAACCTGTCTTAATAGAAATCATTCAGACCTTACATTTTTCCATTGCACAGTAGTTCTGTGTTTGTTAGTTAGTAATGTGTTTGTGTACTGGCCATGAATTCAAGGTTTTGAACAAGGTTTCAATGCACAAATGTGTGTTCAATGATCTTGTCAATTATTTGGTAAATATATTGTAGCATTTAATAACTATCCTGTTAAAGGTTTATCCATGTTGGTGTGTTTCAACATTAAATCACTGTTCATGTTGGTTGATGCAGAAAGTTCTATGTTTTTGAGCCCTTGGAAATGGCATTTTAATTGCTTTGAATTCTTACATTTAAGCTGTCAGATACACGCTAACTGAAATTCAACTTCAATAACAGTGTATTTTTACCTCCCGGTTTCATGTGGTGTTTTCATCATTGTACCTGGACCACCTGGACCTTACATTTTTGCTTTATGCTTTGCCTAGTTTGAATTTAGCTAATACTGTAGGTTATGAAGACCTTATGCTGTCAACCACTGGTGTGAAATATTCAATACCAGATCCATCTGCCTGCTTTACCTTTAGTGACAAAAAGGTATAAAGTTCTCTATCATGTTGAGCCTCTTGAACATTGATAACTGTACAGATTTTAACTGACTCGAGCCATGTTTATAATTAAAAGATTTAACATTAAACACTGAATTAGAGGGCCATGCTTTGATTTCTATATTTAATCACCATGTTCCCATTGTAATTGTGTTCGGCAGAGAGCTTATCAGCTGGTTTGAATCATGAGCAGGCAGTTTAATGACAGAGAAACACAAACATGTCAGGAAACTGGATAATAATTGAAAGATACAAACCTGTTTACAAAGCCTGGCTTCATATCCAGACTATGAATAATGAAGTCTCGGAGGATGCGCCTGTTTAACTCGATATCTCCAACAAGTCCTGAAAGGTGCGTCAAAGCTGCTTCAAGTTTTCTTAAGGCTCTTGAAAAACTGTTAATTAGTTTCTGTCGATGCCTCTAATGAGAAAGATAATTCGGCAAGACTTGAAAATCAACAAAGCAATCAGTTTATGTAACAATTTGTACCTTTGCGCTGCTCGTCCAGGGTTTTCCCATAATTCACTCTTCCACAGTTCTCCACCAGTAAACTTAGAGTTCTTTTCCCCTTCAGTAGACAATATATAAAACATGACAGGCATTACTGAGGTACAGTACATTGATCAGGGCCGATCTGAGTCTACACTTTTCTGTTATAGTTGACTATTCAAAATTAGATAAACAGTCATTTGAAGGTTTGCTGTTGGCTAAAAGGGTAACCTCAGTATTTTTTAAACTGGAAACCTATTTTCTCATGTTTTTGTTGGGACAACATTTAAAAAAAATGGTCCAGTATTGTGCGAGCGCCCTGCAGTCAGCATCAGCGAGACAGTGCTACAACTTAATCCTTAATGGACAATTGCGCCACGTCGAAGTACGTCCACTAAAGTCCTTGTTTTTGCCACTGACAGACTGACATTATAAGTTTCTAACAAAATTATTTATTATACCTACAGAGATAGACTTTTTTGAGCAGTCACTGTCTTGTCAAAGCCACCAGACTCCACTGACAAAAACAGTAATTTTACCTCTCTGGTCTCCCGCTGCAACCATCGGTTAGTGTTATTGTGTGTTTTTAACCCCTTAAAACACCAACTTCACACAATTACACAAACAAATAAAACAACTAAGTCAAATAATAACACAAACAAACTAACTAACCAACCAAGGCAGAAGTAGACCAGCAATTCCCGCGTTCTGCAAAGTAAAATTACTATTTTTAATCAATGGAGTCTGGTGGCTTTGACAAGAGTGTCATAGTGACTTTCTGTATATTAATATTCCAAAATATTTGCAGCTACTTGTTATAAGAATCTGAGCCTGCCAATGGCAAAAACAAGAACTTAAGTGGATGTACTTTGACGAGGCACAATTGCCCACAAAGATTACGTTGAAGCCCTGTTTCGTGCTGCTGACTAAAGCGCACTCGCTCAATGCTGGACCAATTTCCAGGTTGAAAAATACCAAAGCTAACTTTTAATACTGTGACCTTGCTGCCAAAAACATCCATCAGCATACCCTGAAGCTTTCACATACTGTTTTTGCATGATGTTAAATATTAACTAGAGTGCTCCGATCAGGATTTTTTGGGCCGATCACAGATTACTGAAAGCAGCATCGGCCGATATCGATCACCGATCACTGGGTCTAATTTGAAGCCTTTTATTTATCATGTAGCATTATACAGTATATTTATTTAATTAGTCCTACAAACAATGTGTTAAGTATTAAAATTAACAGATAATAACGTATCATGAAATGACAACTGTTTACTTTATTGCCAGGAAACATGGGCAACAAATTCCACTCCCTCTGTCTTAGAGACTCAAACCATAGCAGCCTTTGCCTGGTTACTGTGAACATCTTACAGCTTAAGAAATATAGCTTTCCTGTGGAATAAACTACAAAAACAGAACAAACAGCATATATATTTTTATACTTTATAAATTTACTTCAACTTTAAAAACTGCAACAAAAAAGGCTGTAGCCAAAATATTTAGGGATAAAAGGTGCACAGGCATCATGAGTCTATGATAAACTCTGAATAGCCGCTTTTTGTTCTGGAAAGCTCAGGCAGGTTCTGTGAGCTTTAGGGAGCGGAGAGAGGAGCAGAGAGTGGGAGAGAGGGCTACAGAGGAGTCATAACTGTCATCACTGAGATTTCAAAATAAGGGAAATTTACACATTATTCTGTTAATATTACTTAGCGTTACTATATACACATTATAATTTCATACCACTAGTATAGGCCTAATATTATTTCAGTGGGTTGTTTTCATTTATTAAATCCTTGTGCAAGAAGTCTACATCTTTTACATAGGCCTACTGCCACCGGATTTACCAGAGGAGAGACAAGCTAACACTTTAAATACGGCCAGCAGGTTTTTATGGTTAAGGTTAAAAATACGGGAGATTTACAGGGAAACATTTAAACAAGGAGCAGAGAGAGGAGTGGGGTAATATGAGGCTATATCCACACTACTACAGTTTTTTAAACAGTTTTATAACGAATACGATCTTCTCCGTCCACAGCAGCGTTTTTGTGCGTGTCAGAGTTAATCTCTGTCCAAATTAAAACAACTGAAAAAAGGCACATCTAGCTGCCATTCACATACACTGGGCATGCGCCTGCCGGTGTAAACATGAAGCAGATGGTCTACTCCGCAGTTGCAGAAGATTTAGCAAAAGAAGAAAGTACTACAGACAAAGAACCACACAGGTATTTTTTTTGCATTGACCGACAACGAAGTGGAACTGGTGGAACCTTTACTGAAAGCAACATGGCAGTACAAAGAGGCTAGAGGCAGAAAACGGACTAGGAGGCAGTCAGCTGATTGAGTGGCGCCTCTCTTTGCATCAGGAAACTCACACTGAAGGGGATCAGTCGCCTGATGTGCTGTGGGTCAAGACAATTAAACTCTCATTGTAAATGATTAACTGGGCTCATCAATCGCTTCCTGTCTGAAAAGGACTTTGGTGCTAGCTAGCTTTGAAAACTACTCAGATGGCACCATTTTAGCTGCCATTGAAAATGTGTCCAGCGAGTATTGCATCATCTGATCAGCTTTTCTGATCTGCCTTTTTAGAGACCACCGATCTAACCAGTTAAAGCCATTATCTGCCGATTACGATCGGTGACCGATTGATCGGAGCACCCTTAATATTAACAACTTTATCCTTTTGAAATCAGCTAACAGCATACTAGGTCTAAACTACACACAGAAGGACCAAACCACAGACAAAAGGTACCTTCCCAACAGGGAGTGCGAGTTCTTGCGTCTTATAATCCAGAACACCAACAAAATGTTTGTCCACAAAACCTAAGAATAAAAAAAAAAATTTTTAATTAAATGCAAAGCAAATATTTTGAAAAGCGGAAAGAGCATGAGGCATTTATGCATTTGTCCTACATTACATTCAGTCTTTCACTGAAGATTTTAGACATCAACTGTTGAGAATTGCAGGCTGCAGTAACTGTTTGACATTAACACCAGAGCAACTGGTGGCAGCCTGAGCTTGTTAATTGTGCTCCACAAGTACACTGATCAGAGGTGTGATTTCTCACAAGCTTAGATCACAGCTTCCTAAATGTTCTCACAAAGAAAAGTATAAATGTGTGACAGCGGATGTATTATGTTTGTGTCTGTTGTCCTGTCTTTACCAGAGCTCTGTCCCTGACGTTGTTCTTTGAGTTGAGGGTTCCTTCACTGGTGATTGTGGTCTCATACAGCGTGTAGCCATAAGACTGACCATTGTTATTGTTGACAGCAAGATTCTCTATGTTCACCGGCCTCTCTGACTTCAAAGGCTAAAAAATATGCAAATAGAGATTAAGACAGGGATATTGTTTATACAATGTACCACTAAAAGCAGGTGTCTAAATATGCTGCGGAAATGTCAGTTGTTTTTTTTTAAATGGCTACACAATGTTTGCTATATTTAAAGTGGAAACACACAATCTCAAAACCACTCTCAATGCAGATGGGATCTTATGATGCATGCCGCAAAATCTCCCACTCGCAAGATGGCACCACCCAAAGTGATGATTTATCAAACCTAATGAAGCTTTCCTGTCTGGTGTTCAGAGCGATTCTTTCATTCAGCAACATTCTTTTGCATACCCTTGGGAGGTGCATTATGCCCTCTTCACTAGACAATAAACACTCCCTGCTATGACACGATTAAACACCTACCTCCAAACATCCTGATACAATATCAAACTCACGCATCCCACTCAGTCTCTCTGAAGCCACTGAAGAGACAACGCTCTTTTTAAACGAGGGAGTGTGGCTGGTCAGGGGCAAAGTAATTTTCGTCTCAGAGGGAAGCAAATTATAGCGACGAGGAGTGAATAATTAATGTTGTAAGCAACTGCCAGACGTGCTACATCTGGTTGGAATATAAATGCCCCTGAAGAGCACGGTGTGAACGTCAAACTAGACTGGTGGACATGAAAAGCGAACAGACGTGATGACAACCTCCAAACAGGTTTATGGTTTGGCAAGGGGAGATTTTCTGTTGCATTCATACTTTATTTCAACAACTTTCTTTACAGTCATAAAGCTGGCCACGGTAGATTAGCACTGGTCCCTGAGCAGGCCACTAGTGCAGCTAGTGGAGAATGTCTTGCTCAAGGGCAACTCATCAGCAGCTGTTCTTTAGCGACGAGTGTACTTCCCTTCTCAGACTTTCTCAATAGGTTCAGGAAATCAAGCTGGTGATGGACAATGATTGCAAGCTCACTTCTCTCACTTTAACATTAGCATAACCATGCCTGTAAGATTTTTCTATGTTTCTTTATTAAGAAGTAAAATGCTCATGTAGGGGTATTTTTTATGTATTAGGTACATATTAGGGTTGGGCTGAAGAAGAGAAGATGCCATCGTCCATCAGTGATGGCTGACAGATGGGCGATGGTTGAGCAGGCATCGTGATTGTAAAACCCCACCCCCCAAGGCAAAAAAATCTACATTTTTCACATTAAACCAGCAGGTTTTAATCACCAGGAACATAATTATTATAAATTTTAAATATGCTTCAGACCTTCCTCCGAATTATCTTCTCCCCACTTTACCTGGTCCGTGCTTGTAAAATATCCACCGCGACTTGTAACGTCATTGCCTACCAAGTTTTTAACCGAGTGAAGTCCGTGCGAGGTAACTTATGCACATATAAGACGACCGCTACTCCCCCCACGCCTGTGCGCGAGCGCGTACCCGATACCATCGTCCATCCCGATGTTTCAGTGTTGACATCGTCCGATGGAAATTTTGTAGACATTTCCCAATCCTAGTACATAAGCAACTGTATATCGTCTGATTTGTTGTCATTTGGCTTAACCAAATGACGTCCTGGAACATGTGCAGTGGACAATGTGGGTTACTTCACATATGATTATGTTTCATCAGATCATACTATTCAAAAGCAACTGAACTCAATAGAGAGGCAAAAATGTCACAATGTAACCTTGTTTGAGGTAATCAAGTGAATGCATGGCAAGTTAAAGCATTTAATACGTCTTGCATCAGGCATAAAATCACTCATTCAAACTTCTAAATCTGATAAAATAACCAATAGCAACACAGGTACAAAAGCGCAGGTGCCCACAGTGATCTTCTGTGTCTGCTGGGGTTGCTTCTATAATGCAGATATGGCAAGGAGCTTGTGCTACTTTAACAGTAGGGACTGTACTGTAACACAATGATGGTGGAACAAGCTAGTACACGCCATCAGAGCAAGGGCGTCCCTCTCTAACTTCAAGAAGCTCATCTCTCCCAAGAACACTTTCTCTTATAAGACCCCTAAGCCCTAATGTCTAACATGCAGTTCCTGTGCTTTTCTTCTTCTATCTCTTAACAATCCTCTTGTATTGATTGCACTATTTGTTGACTCTTACTTCTTTCCCTAGGTATTTATCCCATTGATGCCGCCCATGCTAATAGCTCCTACTAGTATTTATTGTTGCTCTTACTAGTATCTATTGTCACTCGTAGATCTCTTTCTGTAATTGCTATTTGCTTGTATGTTGTTCCTCAAATGTAAGTCTCTTTGAATAAAAACATCAAATGAATAACTGTAAATGTAAATACACCTGCCCTCTGGCTAGGACAGTCTTATAGAATCACACTTGAGAACATGTGCTATGCAACGCTCTTTGAGAAGGAGAATACATTTTGTAAGTACTACACATACCACAACAGACTGCATATTCACATAACTAACACAAAGTTTACTTGATTGCCTTTTGTGTATTAATCATGTATTACTTATTTCATATAGTACTGTTGCCTGTCAAAAACCTTGTTAGTCTGTTTTGAGCAATGCTACACAAATAATGTTTATTATTTTTCTGCCTCAAATGTTGGCTCTCTGTGCATCTCCAGCTTACCTTGTCAGTGAAATGCAGACTGTCCCACAGAGACAGGTGCTGCTGGATGACAACAGGCTGGTATGCTCTCCTCTCCTGAAGAGAGGGCAGCTCAGGGAGAGGCTGGGCTGAAAAGCAAGGAGGAAAAATGAGGGTAGGTTACCAGTTTGTCTGTCTGCATATTAATTCATTTTCATTTTCCTTTATTTACCCATTTTGTTTTATAACACATACATTGTCCACGTTTATACATAATTCCAAAAACACAAAAATAGACATGAATCTATATTTTTAAGCACATGGAAATTCAGTCAGAGGAGGGAGTTAAAGATGTCCCAGTCCGTTTCACACAGCCTGTCGCAGCTGTTAAAATAAATTTTCTTTTCTTTTTTATTATTCTTATGTGAGACTGATATTGGATATTGAAATACTAAATTTTAATATGAACGTAGGCTATCTAATTTAGTTTAGTATAGCTTTCTTATAGGCCTACTACAGAGACTGTAGCCCTGTTCCACCCCACCTTTTGTGATGTGGCCGCAGGTAATGAGGTGAGTTTTCAGTAGCGTAAATGTTGAGATTCAGTCTTTCAACCACTATTTGAGCACATTTTATGGCATTAATGGATTTTTTGTTTGATTGCTTTATGAAGTTAATTTAGAACAATGTCTGGAACACCTTTGAAGTGTGTTAAATAAATTAATCTCATTTTTGAAGGGACAAGAAGTTTTTTAAGGTGAGGTGGAAGACCACTTCTTCAGTGCCCGAGTCTTTTAATGTGGAAACGCCGACACAGCCGAGCTGAAAGAATAAGGCTGATATTTTCACACAACAAGAACACATCAAATCAACGCAATATAATAGACTATGCCTGTTCATTTAGACATTCACACTGTCGGAGAATTTCTCTCTCCCTGCAAATGTCAGCTGCAGCCGTGCTACTTAGACTAGGCCTATGTCGTATTTCTGTAGTGTAGCAGTTTGCTCGTTTGTAAAATATGACACTCTGCTGCCAGTGGACTTGTTCATGTCTGTCATCTGCTGCTTACCCCGCCTCTTTTATGTGAACACGCTGACGGCTGGATTGGGAAACCCTGAGTTGAGTTGATAATCAGCTTCGTGGTACCGCTTATCCCGACCGCGATTGTTAGGGTTAGTTAAACGAGATAACTGAAAGGTATCCTGGGTGTATTGAACTTGCTTCGTTAAGTCTAAAAGCCATGTTTTGGGTACAGCTGGTAGAAAAAAATAAAGTGGGATGACTTACTACTTTTGGCCTGCTCAAGTTTGACCTGCAAAACAATAAAACGCACAAAAAAGCAACTGGACCATTTTCTGGGCTATTAAAGCATTCTCTTGAGGAGTCTTCATATTTTAAAGCTTATGAATCACTCAGTACAAATCATAAAAGTAACATGTCCCTTGGAGACTGCTTCTAAGGCTCCATGGGTGAGCCATTTGCCCTCCACAGCAGCATCTAGTTTGTGCTCCATGTTACAAAACAGTCTCATTACAACAATTAACAGTGGTTGCCGGTGCCCTCTAACTGCTTTTAAAGGTGTTAAAGCATGAGCACCAGTGCTCCCTCTGGAAAAGGCTTGACAGCATTTCCTTATCACCAAGTGGTAACAGCTGGATCACTTAAGGAAAGCTTTGAGGATAATGGCCAACACCTTCCTCCAATCTACAACGCTTGCAAGCCAGTGCCTTTGGTAGAGTATATAATGGGTCATATCTAAGAGGGGAAGTGTGCTTTGAAAAGACATTTCTATGAAACTGTGTCACAGATTAGAATTTTTTTTCCTGCAACAAAGGCATTATTATCCCTAATTATCCATATAATCCTGTGCAGAACAGAGCGTGGAGATGTGTGGCTGGGGAGGAGAAACAGGATGGTAGGGTTCAAATTTGATCATATTTGACATTTAACTTTCTTCACAGAAGAAGAATGAAAATTTTAAATGGGCCATATATTTGATGTTCAGAGAAAATGCTTTAAGATAAACTGGTACCATCAATAGCGAGCAGGCATACCACAAGTGCACAGATGGATGTGTAGCTTGTTTTATATGATATACTGAGTTTTTGCAATTTTTGACAGCTTTGTAATAATAAGAAAATCCCAAAGCATATAGTGTATCACAAGTCTACTTTTTGAGCCACGTTGACGTCAAAGCTCAGTGTTAACACATTTGACAGATCAGCCTGAATCCAAGACAGCTTATGCAAAAACAACACCACAGGGAAAAGAGTAACACTGACACACTGTACATGATTTGACAAGCAAACAATTATCAAACTGATCTAATTAAAGAATTAGGTCATGTGTTATATGTGTTTTGTAGTTGCTGAGTAAAACACAGAGCTTCTCAGACTCACTCGCATATCCAGGCCACTGCTCAGTGTTCAGCAGACTACAAAACAAACATAAGGATGAATCACGCAAAGGCAGCCTTTCACACTATCTTCAATCGTCACAACTGTAGGCAAATTATTACTTTGTTGTGCTGGATTCAATCCTACATTGCCAAAAGCTACATTTTCAGTCCTGGCCACAAAACACTTGAGACTTCTGCCCCCAACCACAAACCCTTGTTTTACAGAGAAAACTGCATGAACAAGGCCATGTAATTTTCACAATGGACAGTAATTTGTCTTGGGCAAAACTCATACATGCATGCACACAACACACATAGACCCATATCTAATCCCTGCTTGTAATCATATGCAAAGTTATCCTACTTTAGCCAACAGAGAGCAGGTTCTACAAGGAGAATTAAGTTAAGTGGGGAGATGAAAGGAAAGGGAGAGAAAGAGAGACAGAAGATGTGGGGCCCGTCTCAGCAACAACACACAACACTCACTGTGGTAGAGGCTGAATAAATTCCTCAGAAGATGGTACTTGGTGGTGTAATCCCCAGCCTCGGATAATGGAGCATCGTAATCTGAAAGATAATGCGCTATCAGAACAGCAGGCTCTGCAGCCAGAGAGAGGCAGGGATGCCTCTTACCGTGGCAGATGCTTTCACCGTGCTCCCCTATCAAACATCTTGAAACAGCAGCGAGCCGAGACACATTTTGAGTTATCTTGACAGAAAATGGAGCCGTTTGAGGCAAAAAGGTAAAGGGCATTCAGAGGAGTAAACACAGGTATGAAGACTGCTGAAGGTCAAAGGCGGGCTTCCCTACTGCGGAACCGTTTTCAGAATTCTCCTCGTTTCTCAAGAGCGAGGTCATTACAATGTTACGTGCCCAGGAGGAGAATATAAAAGCCATTGGACCACCTTTGATTTACATTTCCCAAGCATTCTATTAGGTAATTAATTCATTAGTGTTCACTACATATTCAAATTTCAAAGAGAAGGTCAGAGGCTCAGGAGCAGGTATAGTACCATCTCCAGACATTTGACATATAATATCTTAATATCCAAATTATTTTTAATCTACCTTTGCTATTCACATTTGTTTCAAGCAGACAGGCACAGACTGTACTTACTGACTGTATTTCAAAAAGGTTATTGTTTGACAATTATGTGCACTCCTGAGTCAAATAAAATTTGGATTGTTTCAGCCTACTTTGGTGATCACTGTGCTTTAAACATTTGGATAAAGTCAGCAGAAGTTTAAGTAACTGTGAATGTGGTTCTGGCTATTAAAATTAAATGTTACACAGTAATGGTCAAACACAGATTCATTACACATACCATAGCTTGTTACCATAGACTTGGGTGCTGGTTTTCCGACGGCAAACGCCCCACTCATGAAGCCAAAATTCGTGCCTCCATGGAACATGTAGAGGTTGATGGACATGTCCAGTTTAAGGATCTCTGTGACCACAGGCATCATGTCTGTCAAAAAAGTAAAAGAAATCAAATCCCATTTAATACATAAAGTCCATGATTTAGCTTAATTATTCTGATATAAACCAGGGACTAAATCAGGGAATAACAAATGCAAAGCTAAACATGAGTCACAAAAAACCCCACAAAAAATCTATTTGACTTTAACAAGCCAGAGCCACTGATTCAATAATTCTATCGCTCTCAATTCCACTTCAATTGAAGCATGGGCAGACCTCAGCCACGGATCCTATTACAGGTTACTATAATTCATTACGGGGCAATGCTCACACCCATAAAAAATTGCCTTCCTCCCTGCGCAAATTAGCTACCTATATTTTGCAGCGAACATAGCAGAGCAAGTAATTAAGTATTCAAATTGGACTTTAGTAGTCAAATTGAACCGACTTTAATGATTTGAATCAAGGGCATGAGCCTTAGTGAATAACAATTGAGCAGGGTGAGTGATGGAGCCAGTTGGTTTCATGGTGGTGGCACTAGCTGTGACCAACTGCGGGCTGTGTTGCACTCTGCAGAGCACTGAACTGTCAAGGACATGAATCCCCGCTGAATATTCCAGCATTCATTTCATAGCTGTGACACTGCGTGGGGAGGGTCTTTTCTTTTTCCATTTTCCCTTTCTCACTGAGGAGAAAATACTTAAGGCAGCAAGACTGCTAGCCCTTTCATTTTCAGAACATTTTTGTTAAGATGTGGATGGCTGCTAGGAATGACAGAGAGTAAAAAGGAAGCTTGAGGCTCTCCACTGTGTGTTTGAAATAAGATGTTTTTTGAGAGCTCTCAAGATGGTGATGGCAGGGTGTGTGGCTGCCATTAATCTTTACAATTGTAAAACAGGTGCTATCATTTATGTCACGACTGTACATTATACAAAAAATATCACCCTCCTGGCTGCAGCATGTGGACCATGTTATATAGGTGATATGTGGATATACTGTGGGTCCTGTAGTAGTTAGCAGCTGGCTCTATCACATTAATACTGTACTTTTTATACCTTAGGGCCCATACCATCAGCCAGGACAAGGTGGTCCAGCATAAATAGTTTACGAAATATGTGACACAACCTGTGGTTACTTAATAAACAGAGAATTAATTGACAATTCTGAAAATCAATTAATTGTTTATTATTTATCAAGCAAAAATCCCAATCATGAGCTGGTTACAGCCTCTTAAATGGAAAGATTTAGTTATTTTTTTAGATTATATATCATCTAATCCAAATTAATTTGGTCAAACAAAACGAGCAATTTAATGACCTACTATGATGATCTACTTTACTCTGGGATATTAGAGAGTGAGACATTTTAGACAAGACAGTTATCGATTAATCAAAAATACTAATCAATCGTTTAATTGAAAATAATAACCATTTTAATTCAGCCCTACTGATATGTTCACACAAAGTCTGCCAAACTACATCTTTGTAAGATACTTAAAAATATATATTAAAAGGGGCAATATATAGTTTTCAGCATCCACTAGCGGTGCGGTTTTAAGATTGTAACCAGGCTAACTAACATTACTATTTGTGTATCTTTCACCAGAGGCTTAGCAATGTGAGCACAGCTAAATGTATTGGATGATAATGAAACGGTTAGTGAGCTAGCCTGAATATAATAAATAAGATTGTTGTCGCACTTTATAACAAATAGACCGCAGTTAGTAACGTTACTGTAGTGAATGGGTTTTCCATTGTTTTGTTGTCCTATGTAGTTATTTTGCATTATTGTATATTATGTGGGTCACGTAAGTTACAACGACTGAAACGGTGTAGAAGCAAGAACAAATCGCTCCACATTTGCTTTGTACCGTTACATAATTTCTTGCACACTGAATCAACACATAATACCGGTGGTACACAGGATAGTAATATGAATCGCGTTAGCTGGTAAGTCATGTGGGACTGCTCAGCGTTTTCACGAAACCCATCTAATTCTCTTTGGCCTGATGAGCTTCAACACATAATCATTGATTGTTGTTTTGTATCCTTACGTAGAGTTTGTGTTGTAGTTTATGTCGGAGTCTGTGTTGTGCTGGGAGCCGGTTGTTTCGTGGTGTTAGTGGACTGCATTTCGTTAGCTGCGGTGTTGTTGCTGTAGTCAGAGAGAAGCCCGGGAGCACACACAGGGCTACATCCCGACCCGGTGCCTTCACATTAAAAGCAGAATAGCAGCTGATCCAAGCAACAGAGAAAAGAGGTGTGTGCTTCTTTTCTACGTGAGGTTAGAGCCTATTGACAATAAGGAAGTAAAAGTTTTATTTATTAATACACGATTCCATTGAAACTACATATAGCCCTTTTAAGGTTTAAAAGTACCCTTTGAGGGTTTCAGCCACTAGCAGCACTATGGAGCACTATGCACATGCAGCAAAGTTTCTAAACACATTTATTCCAGTCCTGTACTTAACAGCAATTTTGAGCTATTATACTTCATTTCCATTTTGCTTTATAGTTTTACACCACTAAAATAAATATTATATATATTATACATATCTTGAAAGGCATGTATAAATAAAATGTATTATTATTATTATTATTATTACTATTATCATCATATAAATGTAATTTTTACTCAACTATCTTTATTTAAGAGTTATAGTTACAGGTTACTTTGGTAATTAACACATTTCATACAAAACATATATCCATCTTTTAAATTATGATGATTATTTCACAGCAAAGACAAAGCTGGACATTACTTGGAGAAAAGAAAGCGAGGAAGTTGAACTACCTGGTGAGAAAATGTGTGTCTGTAACTTTATTCCAGCTGTCGTTGTACTTTACTGTGAACAGATTAGCATAGCATAGCTCTGATCAATCCGAACTCCATTCAGAAAACATTATTGTAGTATTTTTAGAATCGAGTCCCCTTATTTGCTCCAAACATGTGATCCATGTTTTTAATGCAGATCAAATTGTATCAAGTATTTTTTTTGTTTGTAGTGCAACGGCACCTCAATGGTCACTGTTAGAGACCTGCATACAGTACAAAGAAGTTAAAACTAGCTCCTCAAAGCGTACAAAGTCATGTCTTATATTCATGTGCAGCCAGTAACATGCAGTCTGTAACTTACACAATAAGGCTGATGAGACATTGTAGCCTATAACTAACAGGAACAAACACAATGATACTGTATGATCCCATCCCGTGAAATGTCATTTAATGCGGCCAAGGCCAAGTCCTAATGTGTATCTGTAGCTACAGCACATGTAGATACAGAGTAAGTGGCAGAGCATGAGATGAATGTGCAGTGTTTCCTCTATATGCATCACGACCGCCACTACTAAAATTTCCCACGATCATTAAACTATGCTCTCGTTCTATGCAGAACATACGTGACAGATGGTGTTACGAGAGCAGCGTAACTCTGAATCGGGAGGTGCGTAGCGAGTGTTTGATCGTCCGAGCGGCAGAAAGTGACAGTGAACGCGAGCGGAGTAAAATATTCTGGCAGTAAATGTACGGTGTCTGTTACAGTGTGTCAGCTTCTCAAGACCAAGAAATGTCTGTTGTTTCCCCACCTGCTGGAAAAGTGAAGCCGGTTAGCGCCAAGTTAGCTAACATCTCCCCTTCAGACTGCGCAGCTGAGCAGGAAAGCTTCTACAGCAGCTACACAGCTGCTTTGTAACTTAACTTTAGCTCAATTGATAGAAAGTAACTGGAAGCTGTATATTATTACTGCCTACTTGTCCAATGTTGAGAAGATCAGGTACAAATTTAGACTAAACTGACGTAGCCTGCAGCTCTGTCCTGTACAGACTGATTAAATTATTTTTCAGTTTTCAGTCTGAAAAAGTGGTTTTGGAAAAGACGATGGAGGTGACTGGAGGAGCTGAGGTTAGTAAAGCTAATTAGAGATGCAAACTAGTCCTTTTAAGCTAATGAGGAGATGTTTCTTTTTGGATTTTAATGTGCAAATAAAATGCACCTCAGAAGGGAAGAGGTTTCTCATGTTGCCTGCTTTTTATATTAATGTCTACAGATAAATGTAAGAAGCTGTCATATTAACAGGGTTTGTCCTGCCCCCGCTGCTGAAAAAAAATCCTAGAGGAAACACTGATGTGTCTCCCTCAAAGTGCAACACCTCCACCTGTGTTCAGTAAATTCAGTCAGAATCAGTGGATTACATCTTTGAACCATCCTGTATGGCCCAGAAACAAAGTTAAGGGGGTGGGACACAGACTCTGGTCTGTGATATTTGGCTCACAACAAATCTCTGACAAAGCCGCAAAACAAGGAGGAAATGACCATATGCTAAGCTGTACATCCCAGCTGGGCTCTGTGCCTTTTGTGAAGGAACCATGGCGTTAGAGAGACTGTCTTACACGCAGTCTGGAGAATTCATCTTACATAACCCACATAGCAGTGAGTCTGTCCTTACCCTGTCTTTCCCTTGCACAGAGACTGTTTTATTCTCAACTAAAAAGGTTTGTCTTAAGACTTTCTTACCCTAAGGCACTGGGACTCTTTCTTACCCTCGAGACAGTCTGTTTTGCCTTGAGAGATTCTGTATTGGCTCGCAGCACAAAACCCGCCTTACCCCAGTCTCAAATTAGCCAGTATTATCGACCTTCTGTACAAATACAAACTGTTTAATCCTCAACAAAGCATCCATCACATGTCTTACTCTTACCAAGTATCCTACTTGCAGCTCTCACTAAAGAAAACCTGTACTCTAATCTTAAGTCTGTCTTACCCTCAGCTGTGTACACATGATGAAGGTCCCCCCAAAGATCGAACCAGCCAGACCAGTACTCCATCACCATCTTAGGCTTCTGAGGCTAAAGTAAAACACACTCAATTGAGCAAAAGATACATCTGACCTTTCAGTTTCTCTCAGCAACTACCTTATTGCGCTTGTACAAACACTGAATACATTTTCTTAAAGATTAAGATATTCTTTCAGGCTTTTATTTTTATGGCAGCCCTACATTTTCATATCGGTAATAGAAAGAGCAAGGACAACGAATCACGTGTCTGTCTGATGTTTGATAAGATCAGAAAACTAGTAATGACATCTAAAGAAATCTACAAACACGGATAAAATAATAACGGACAATGAAGACCCACCAATTTAGACACGGCACACAAATAAGACTCACTTGTATTCCATCCAGATACTTGATGTCATTGGGGTTCAGTTTCTGGAAATTTATGGTTTCTAGTGCTGCAGACCAAAAAAAAAGACAAAACACTGTTGTTAACACATACAGAAACTGAAAAAAGATGCAGAACAGTTCAAACTAACATGCTTTATGGCATTATTGATTTGAGTGGTACTTAAACACTCACATGCTTCTTTCCTTGTATTTAAAGAACTATCACTATTTCTACAGAGCACCTGGAACTTCCATATAAAGCTAAATCCACTTCAAATCATGAGTGAATTGGTATTAAAATAGTATAGTGTAAGCTCCTGCATTAGGATTCAGCCAACGAGGCATCAAACTTCAACTGTTCACCTTGCTGTGAGTATAATATGCAAATCAGGGTGCAGTTTAGAGATGCATTAAAACATTTTGTGAATTCCCAGAAGAAGGTTTATTATAACAATGCCCTGAAGACCCTGTCCTGTTGTTATAGGGATGACAATACATGGTTTGCAGTGATAATAAAACCAGAAATACTCATAATCTCAGTGAAGAACAACCTTATATTGACTTTAAAACAATGGTTACTAATGCATGTATATTACAGTAGCAGGTATCTAATAGAAAAGATAACAATTAAGACTTATTTTCCGGCATCACAGTGTCTATGCCAGAGTACGCTCAAAACAACCACTTTCTGGTACAACACAGAATTCTTTGTGTGTAGAATTAGGTTCTGAACTGCTTCTGCCTGACACTGGGCCGCCCTTCGCCCCTTTGTCGTTGTGTGAAAACACAATACACCAAACCACCATACTGTATGTGTGTTTGTGTGTGTATGCGTGTGTGTGTTTGTTTGGGTGCTTGTTTGTCTAACAATACCTCCTTTCACTCCTCCAAGCTTTAGTCCTTCCTTGTTGTCTGAGGTCAGCAGCAGCTCTGTGATGCCCCTTGACAATAACGCCTGGAAAGAAGGGGGATTATGGAGGCAACTAAACAAAACAGTGGAGGTTCTTTCTGATATATTTTTGTTGATTTTCCTTTGAAAGAAAGTGTAAAGGAGAGTGACCAAATAAAGGACAGCAGGGAAAACAAAGTAAGTAAGCGCACTCATCTATGAGCTGCCAGTTACTGTTGACATAGTTGTGCAATTTTAATTCTTACCTCTTTGATGAAAGGCATGTACTCTTTATCTTTAGCAAAGGAGCCATATTCATTCTCCACTTGAACTGCAATAATTGGGCCACCCTTGGAGTACTGTGCATTAATTAGCAAATGAATAGAGGACACATATTAGAGCCTGGCACCAGATCTTGACCATCCCTACCCTCAATGCAGCTGAATTTTAAAAACACTGTGGAATGCAAATCAGATCATGCTCAATGATGCATGAAGCTGATGAGAAGAAAATATGGCTGGGGGGGACACAAGTTGAGCAATTTGAGGTTGTATGGTGCATTGCATTGCTAACAATGGTTACAACATGGCCAACAGCAGATTGAAGGTTTTTAGGAGGCGGTGACTAAATATTGCATGCAGGGATAAAATATGATTGTGAAAACAAGGATTGTGTCGTGAAAATAATCTTTTTGGGATTGGATAGTTTTTTAATTGCATGCATGCTGATATCTTTTACAAAATGAATAGGCAAAAGTGTGTATGCAAGTAACGATGAAAACTCAAAACATTTCATTGGAAAAACTTGTCTATTTTGATATAGATGTATTTTAGTCATATTTTTATAGAATAGCCTCGTGTAATTTTTCTAGAATATCTGAGTGCATCAACCCAAATACTTTTTAAATCTCTCTTGTGCTAAAATGGAAAGTACCTGATATGGAGCAACTTTCCTAATGAGGTGATTAAAGAAGGATTTGACTGCATCAGTGAACCCTGGGTAGGTTGTTCTCAGTTTCATGTTGTGATCCCGTAGTAGCCAACTGAAAAAAGAAATCACAACAAAAACCTTTAAAATGTCCCACAAATAACATATCACACAAGTTCTTCAAAGTGCTGTAACTCTTCAGGTTTTCAGCTACTGGAGATAATCCCAGCCAGCCTAAGCATGACTATCATAAAATGCAGTGCAGAGGAAGTCATGCTTCACTGCATGCCCCTAGAAACACTCTGTTTGGATGATTATCAAAGAAATATTACCTCAACCTCACGTTCCCTGAGGGCAAAACTACTTACTTCCAGTCTTTTTCCCCTCCAACATTTACCCCATTATCTGTCCAAATCTATTTTGATTACAGAACTAAATGAATTCATCCTTTCAGGGAGATCTGCCTGTCAGATTTAATTATTGTTCTCTCTAATACCTCACTGACAGTCTGATAAATTATCAGTGACTTTCATTTGAGTAACATTAGCGGTTAACTTATATGATGCATACTGTCCTCTAGCCATAATATGTCTAACACTATGTAACAAGCCCTGTTGTCTTTGTATCGTATATGCCACCAAGACAAATCCTTAGCAACACACCTGGTGAAAATAGCCAAACAGATGACAGCACACTTGAAATAATTCTCATAAAATAAACAATGAATTATTTCCATGAGTTTAATGGATTTAGCCTGCAGCAAAGATACGGCTAACAATCAGATTACCTGACTGAACAATCCATTTCCAAGTCAATTTAAGTGACTAACTTAGCACCCGCTGGCTATCCTCAAATGCATTACAATGTTGGTATGGCTGTGAGGCAGATACAAAATATCTGAAAATATAACACTTAATTGTGGCTGTGTGATTCTTACCTGGGTAGTCCCCCTAAATCCCACTCAGCACAGATGTACGGCCCTGGACGCAGAATCACCCAGAGGCCCAGGCTGGCTGCAAGGCCGAGGTAGGCTCTAAGAGAAGGATACAAAATGTGCTAAAGGTGCTGGCTCTGGGGTTTATTTCATACCAATACAGTCACTGTCAAATGTTTACTACATATAATCTTTCTCAATTAAAGCAGATGTTCAATTACAAATGACAGGGCATTCATTTTTAAATATTTCACTCAATTTATTTTTTCATTTTCAGATCGTATTTTTTCCGTTGTGAGGAGGCATCTGTTTTTTAGCGCTAGACCTGACAGCAAGCAACACATTTGATGAATCAATGCCAGCGTAATCAATAAATCATAAATCATTGATACTGACTGAGTGCACTACTAATTAATAAAAAGCATGTCTTAAGGGTAACGGTACACCTTCACAGCAGTATCAAATGATTCAAGACTGTGGAAAGCCGAGCCCTTTGCAATGCAACAGTGCCATCTGCAGGAGTCTCAAACTTCCCCTGCAAGTCTTCCCTTCACCGTTCCTTACTCTAAATCCAGCTGATCCTCAAAGTTGAACACCCCTCGCTCAGGCTCATGCAGGTTCCACGGCACATACCTGAGAAAATAAATAAAGTCTTTTGTGTGCTTTAGTATTTTTATGGTAATTAATTCTAGTGGTTTCTAAGACTGTTTGTTTCTTGTAAAAAAATAAATAAATTACTACAACTAGTACTTGACCATGACTCATGAATTTTGTCTGCCCTACTTTGCTTTACTCACATTTAATTTAATCTGTGTAAAATGTTCTGCAGTAAACACTGACACTGTTCTTTCTAGTGCTTTAAGGTACAGTATCAACCAGCCATGAGTTGCAGTGAGAGCCTACGTTGTGAGCGTATTGAGGCCACAGGCCTTCATCTTCAGCAGCCGGTCCTCCCAGTAGGCTCTGGGGACACGGAAGTAATGGATGGAGCCCCCCAGGATGCGGAAAGGCTTTCCCTCCAGAGTGAACTGAGAAGAGTTGGCCTTCAGACCCTCTACGCGACTCATTGTTCTTACTTCAGCGCGATTCCTAGGGGGACACATTTAGTTCACAACTGAAAAAGAACTTGTTGAACTAGTACAACTGGATCAAAAGCCATAAAGACATTTGAGACATGTTTCTACGATGGGAAGCAATTCCGTGACGTAATATTGAGCAAAATATTTAAGCCCAGTTGCACCAAAAGGTGTGCCCCTCCTGTGCTATCACTACATAATGTAACAACAGCAGAGGCACAACCTGGGGCTTTATCATGTTAAAGAGCTCTCTTCCACACCTTTAAGTACATTATTAAGCATAATGCTAAATAAATAAATATCTAGATAAAGTATCATTTTGATCAGTAGACAAGATTTGCATTAAGACATTTTACACACCTTAAAGAAAAACAGGTAATGTTCAGTGTTCGCAGGCCAGCAGGTGAAAGTTCACAGGCAACAATAGAGCTGAATACAAACTTCTGGATATAGGCAGTAATATTTAACCAAGCAAATAACATTCAAGCATAATGCAGGAGCCATGGAGAAGCTTGATCACAATAAAATCGGCTTTAAACAACATTTCAAGTGTCAGTGGGCAGGCTAGGCTACTCATCCAGAAATTCATCTTCATGCATGACTCGCACTAAGAGCTGACCACGGGTTAGATATGACTTCCTTCAGGGTCGTGTTGGTTGTTTAAGTGTTCGCCTTACCTTGTATACTGATAAGCAAGTATCGCTCCGACAGCAACACACAGCAGCAGAAAATATCTTTGTTTTAGTGAGAGACGAAGACCAAACATTGATGAGCTTTCCATTGGCGACTAATACGACACGAGTAATGTGACGTTAGCAACACTAACGTTAAGTTACGTTAACGTTACTCTGTAAGAGTTGCAAATTGTGAACATATCAGCAGTCCTCTTTTGAAAACTCCCTTTGCTTTTCCTGCCCGGTAGCGTTAGACCGACTGGAGTCCTGTTATACGAGTAACGTTAAGTTATTATGTCACATAAGGTTAACTTATGCTAATCCAGTTTTGCAAAACTTGTCAAAAGGGACACGAATGCGTCGGTAAAGTTGAGTTACCCCATATTTACATGACGCTAGGATAGTCGTTACTTCCGGGATTAATGTTTAAAAAAAACGAAACATGGTTTATGAAAAATGTTACTCAGTTTGTTCTTGTGGTATAACCCGTGTTAGTAGAAGCAGTTGTCCATGAGTATATCACACACCCATCTGCACTGCGACTGCCGCCTGCACGTAGGGACCGTCATATTTTTTTTTGCTGAGAAAAACGCAGAAAATACTTCTTCTTCTTCTTCATATCGATTTACGGCAGTTTAGACGCTTCTAGGCGTGTTAACGCAGAAAATTAAGTTCCCTTACCTTTTTTTTTTTAATAGAAAAGGATTGATTCATTCCAGCATTATCGCTACCATGTTTTCTCAAATCCTTCTTATGAATGTCATACATGAAAGTGTATTATACTTCCCAAATTGAGAGGGAATATTATTTTCACACAAATGTTTTTTTTTTTAAATGGGTACCATTGTTCTCTGGCTCCCTTCTAGCCACTGTCTTTGTTTTGCATATTCTTACAAATTAAATAAATAGGCCCACAGAATATTTTCTAAATTTAATTAAATCTAATTTTGAGATTAATAATGACAGACAATGTCAACAACAGCGACAAACACACAATGATGAGAGGACTAAAAAAACATCTCCAAACGCATAGAGCAAGGCTATACTCTGCTTTGTACAAATTGCAAACTGACTTCAGTGGTGACTTTATTGAATATTTCTCTGAAAAATGCCATAAACCAAGTTGCAGAACACAATGTGTTGTAGTCTGTGAAGTTGTTTGACAGCTTGCAATGAATGAAATAGTTTATTTATTTCAATAAATATCCCAGAAAATGTAGGTTGCAAATACATAACCTGTCATATTGGAAACCCTTTTTCTTTGGTCTGTAATTAGTTGTGGTGCTGTTTGACATGTTTTGGTCAAACAGCACCACAATTTTGGCTTATAAATAATTATAAATTGCTGATGTGCTTTCAGAGACAGTGAAAAATAAACAACCCAGCTATAACTGGGGCAGAGAGGACAAATAATATGCCTCACAGCACACACATTCATGCTATTGCACATAAACGTATGACCACAGTTGCACAATCTAAATCTAGAACCACTAGACCTTTAAAGCATCACTATGACTATACCATGAGGCCAACATTACTGTGCACAATGTAATGCCTCCCTTCTCTGACTGAGTGCTGCAGAGAGAGAGAGAGAGAGAGAGAGAGAGGGAGACAGACAGACAGACAGAGCACTATTATATTTTTGTTCGGAAACAACAATAGTTTCCCTTGTCCACAGTGTTTGAGGCCTCCCAGCACCATCCTCCTTTCAAATGCTCCCTGGCAAGCTCAGCTTCAAGGTACAGCTTTGACAATGTTTTTGATGTAACTGGGATTTTCTGTATCTGCATTAAGGACATTCATGGTAAGTTGTGGTACGTTTTCACTTTTACTGTTCTCATATTAAAAATAAAAATGTATTTTTTGTAATTCAGATTCATACTATGTACAATTACAGATACATAATTTAAAGTAGCCTACTGTCTGTAAACTTTTAAACAAGTTACACATGTTAAAATGCTTCAAATACTTTTTCACACCTTCGAATGCTATTATCCAACACAAAGCACCTGCTTGGAAAGATGGATTTTTTCCGTTATATTTCATTTAGCAGTTTTTTCCCCACCAGACATCACCGAGTCATCAAGTAAGAAGAATGAGCCGCGTGGAAGGTCTGAGGGCCAACTCATCTCAGTTCACTCTGGAGGGAAAGCCCTTCCACATCCTGGGGGGCTCCATCCATTACTTCCGTGTCCCCAGAGCCTACTGGGAGGACCGGCTGCTGAAGATGAAAGCCTGTGGCCTCAATACACTTACAACGTAGGCTCCCACTGCAACTTGGCTATGCCTCACATTACAGGATTTTTACTGTTCTTTTACTGGAGAAGGTCAAACACAGATCAGATTAAATCAAAATGTGTTTGTGTAAAATGCCTTATGAAACAATTCACCTTAAAATGAAACATAAAACAAACCAAACACTGGGATTTTGCAAGTCATTGGACCACACTGTTGCTCATAAGCTGCAAGAGATTGTTTTCTTGCTTGCTCTTTCAGATACGTGCCGTGGAATCTGCATGAACCTGAGAGAGGAACTTTCAACTTTCAGGATCAGTTGGACCTCAGGTAAATCTTCCATAGTGTTTTTCTTCGTCTTTGTAGACTGGTCGATATTTCCAAAAGGCATGCAGATGGGTTGTTTTTTAAATAAAGCAGAATGTGTGTCTGTCTTTCTCAGGGCCTATGTCAGTTTAGCAGCAGAGATGGGTCTATGGGTGATCCTGCGTCCTGGGCCTTACATCTGTGCTGAATGGGACTTGGGCGGGTTGCCTAGGTAAAATCATCTGTCCATTGCTTTAAAACTTTGGCATATATTAGCAGTAAGCCACCAAAGTTGTTCTCATGTTTCTTTCAGCTGGTTGTTACAAGATAAAGGCATGCAATTGAGGACAACTTATCCCAGATTTGTAGATGCTGTCAACCTCTACTTTGACAAGCTTGTCTCAGTTATCAAACCTCTGATGGTGAGTCAGACTCATAGTTTAGTTATACAATTTCACGTCAGACATTTCCTGAAAGAGAGAGATTTCAGTGAGACAAACACTTATTTTTCCTTGTTTGGTTTTTCAGTTTGAAGAGGGAGGCCCAATCATTGCGGTTCAAGTTGAGAACGAGTATGGGTCATATGCCAAAGATGAGAAATATATGCCATTTATAAAGAACGTGAGTTTATTAATGTACTGCAATGTTTCTTTTTCACTTATAATACATTGTAATGTAGCTAATTCTAAGCAAAAAAATATTTTCCTGCAGTGTCTAGAGTCCAGAGGGATCAAGGAGCTCCTGCTGACTTCTGACAACTGGGAGGGCTTGAGATGTGGAGGGATGGAGGGAGGTAATGAAGATAACTATAACCAACTACCTAATATTGTAGGCTACGTAATGTACTGTGTCATTGTTTGACTTTTTTCTTCATTTGGTCCAAATTTTGGTGATTTCAGTTCTAAAAACAATAAACCTTCAGAGACTGTCGTTTGGAGCTATCCAGCACTTGGCTGACATGCAGGTAGGTGAGTTTTTATTGTTCATTTCTGCTTTTTACTGTATTATCGTGTGAGAGGATTGGCTAAAACCCAAAAGGAAAATGATTTTGTTTGTGATTAAGCATCACTATAGCGCCTAAATTACAGTAGACTGCAAGATGTGTATGTGTTATGTTTTGCATAGCCCCAGAAACCCCTAATGGTGATGGAGTATTGGTCTGGGTGGTTTGACGTCTGGGGAGATCATCACCATGTGTTCCACGCTGAGGGTATAAAGACACTTTTCAGCCATCACTTTCCCAGTCAACATTTTTGCTGAGCATGTGCTCATTTTCAGCATCACTGTGCATTCCATTACACACTTACAAGCTTCACAATGGCCAATGTCTATTTGCTTGTGATTTTGGATAGCCGTATGAATGTCATTCAGAGCTGCTGGGTTCAGGTATTGTTCAAGGACACTTCACCCGAGAGAGAAGAGCATTACTGCCTCACTTAACAAGTCATTCATTACGGCATATTGCTCTTTGGCTCGCTTTGTGTATCATTAATTATCATATGGTTTGCAGACATGCTGGCTGTGGTGTCAGAGATCCTGGAGAGAGGTGTCTCTATTAATCTGTACATGTTCCATGGGGGAACCAGCTTTGGCTTCATGAATGGAGCGATGGACTTTGGCACCTACAAACCTCAGGTCACCAGTTATGGTTGGTAGGAATTACCTTAGAGCTCAGAGACCAAAAAACTGTTTCAAAGTATGTTTCAGATCTCTGACTAACATGATTCCCCACTAAAGCATTGCTTCTTGTTTTCATTGCAGATTACGATGCTCCTCTATCCGAGGCTGGAGATTGCACCTTAAAATATCAACTCTTGAGGAAGTTATTCAGCCAGTACCACTGTAATGTCATTTTATGAGAAACTATATGCACCTAGCAATTCATTTGATGAACTTATTACTCAGAGTAAATTAGTCTGTCATCATTAGTAATAATTTAATGTTTTTGCCAACTGGTGTTCCAGCTGAGCCTCTTCCTGAAGTGCCCTTTCCTCAGGAGAGGAGAGCATACGACCCGGTTGCCATCCAGCGGCACCTGTCACTGTGGGACAGCCTGCAATTCACCGACAAGGTAAGCTACAGATGGCACGCACCTGTCTGGTGTGACAGCTGATCACATAATCTACAGAATGGAAAATGTTGTATCCAAACTCCAACTAGACCATACCATATAGGAGTCCTGCTCGGGTGACAGCAAACTGCAAGATGTGGTGAGCTTCAGACAGACTGTCTCTGTTATCAGCCTGTGTGTCTGCTTCGGTGGCTCCACTTCTAGCAACATGCTGCTTACGCTCAAGACAGCTGTCTCACACCTGGCAGCTCGGGTATGGTCATGCATCAAGGTGTCAACACACCTGCTTTTTTTTGGACATTTCTGTCATATGCTGTTTGGTGGATTCCTTTATTTCAAGTCCAAGTGTGTCACAGTGCCATGCATGCAAACATTTCTTCAGTGAGAATGGAACTTCCTTACCCCAGCAGTGATGGTATCTTGCCCTGCCTATGCAACTACGCAGGTACATTGTCTTCAGAGGTCTGATGTAGAGCTGCAATGATAAATCGATTAGTTGTCAACTATTAAAGTAATCGTCGATTATTTTGATAACTGCTCAATCAGTTTGACTAATTTTTTAAGAAAAAAAGTCACAATTCTTAGATTCCAGCTTCTTAAATTTGAATATTGTCTGGTTTCTTTATTCCTCTGTGACAGTAAATTGAATATCTTTGGGTCATGGACAAAACAAGACATTTGACATTTTCACCATTTTATGACATTTTAAAGACCAAACAACTAATTGATTAATTGACAAAATAATCAGCAGATTAATCATCAATGAGAATAATGGTTGGTTGCAGCTTTAGTCTGATGTTCACTGTGTTCTTGTATCTAATTATATGTGTTGTTTACTATTCATCCAGCCATTTAGGTCAGAGAGGCCAGTGAACATGGAGAATCTGCCTGTCAACAATAACAATGGCCAGTCATATGGTTACACACTGTATGAAACCACCATCCTCAGTGGAGGAACCCTCAACTCCAGGAACAACATCAGAGATAGAGCACTGGTGAGGACTGACCCACAGACCCCATACATGCACAATATAGTTTAAAATATTTTTCCTGAGGTTATAAAGCTTGGTTATACCTAATCCTGTCAATATGAATTTTAATGTTCTGTAGGTTTTTGTGGACAGACAATGTGTTGGTAGTTTGGACTACAAGACTCATGAGCTGGCACTCCCTGATGGGAAGGTACTGTGGTGTCTGTTCCTAGCTGTACATACCATCATCCCTGTAGCCCTTAGCTCCTGAAACGCATACATTTTTAAATTAAGGGTTAATCACGTACAAGTACAAGTACAAGGACATACCCTCTAAAGCATCCCAGAAATACTTTTCTGAAGAGCGTAAAACTTTGTCTTTGAAGTGAAGGAATTTTAAACACAGTGTGGTTGTTTTAGGTCACTGTTTATAGCTGTTACACAAAGGTACCCAACTGCTCCCAAGAAAAGACCATGCAATATGCTGGAAGTGAAAGAGAGTAATTTAGTACAGCATCAACTGCAAAGCAAAAACATGAAATAAAATAACATTACAGTTCACTTCAGAGCTATATCCACTTCATGCAGCATCACTGCCAGATGTCTTATTCATAATTGAAAAACGTCTTTTTGCAGGATGAAAAATTCAGTGATATGTGCATCAACAGTTGGCAGTAATTATTGGGAAGTATTCTATATAGTATAAAAATGGCTAAAGCCAGTGTAAGGACACTGCTAAAATATCTAACTATATATTAAATTATCAAGTTAAATTATATTAAATTAAAATATCTAAAAATTAATCTCTCTCCCCCCCCCCCCTTCTCTCTCTCTCTCGATATATATATATATTTTCCAGCAGTTATCCTGCAGATTCCAATTTTGGACCATATAACTGTGCTCAAGCAGGATTTAGCGGGACATTCAAGAATATTTGATTCTGAGAAGCTGTATACATTACATCAGAGTATTCGCTGTTATTTGTATTTGCCATTTTTATTTGGCATATTCAAACAAACAGAGAAATACTGGATTGTCTCAATGTGATTACTTTTCTTTAATGAACTTTCCAACTGACACTCGTGTTTTGTGCTTTGAAGGGAAAGGTGACGTTGAGCTTACTTGTGGAGAACTGTGGAAGAGTGAATTATGGGAAAACTCTGGATGAACAGCGCAAAGGTATTGAACCTTTAAACATAAGTGTCTTGTGCAGTGCCATACATGAGTTTTTGCTTTTCCACTCACTGTTCATATTAGAACACATTTCCTGACCTGAGTCAAACAATTCCTACCGTTAATTTTAACACTTAAGCCAAAGAAAATATCAGAAGAGTTCAGATAATGTTGCTTGGACACTGAAAAATCTATTCAGTTAACTTAAAAATGTCAAATCACTGCTTCTGTGCGAACTTTCTGACTTTTTCTAGATTTTATTGCCCCATGCTATACCTGAAAGCATGTGTCTATGGGTGGTGTTTGGTCTGCTACTATGTCTGCATTGCATAGGTTTGCCTCATATTGTATTACAGGTATTGTGGGAGACATCCTTTTGAATCACGCCCCTCTGAGAGGATTTACTATCTTCTGTTTGGATATGAAGCCTGGCTTTATGAAAAGGTGGGTTAAGTGAATTTAATTGTTTATTCTGTGAACATGGTCAGACTACTAGACCTCTTCATAGACACAAGTAGACATGGTTATAAATCAAAGGGCAGATTCAACCATGAAACTTATTATTAATCTGCTAATGAATCACCCTTCATACACTGCTTTGAATGTTTAGTGGTGTGAGTATATGACTAACTGCCTTTCTTTGTAGTACAGTATATATTCACACATTCAATATTGGTTCACATACCGTATAGTGACATAGTTCCTCTGGATGTTGGTCAGGTTGAATTCAGTGTCACATGATTACAGTGTGTTTTTCAAATGAATGCTCATCTTGTTTCAGATTATTGAGTTCAGGTCAGTGGAAGTCTGACTTCAAGTCGCCCTCATTCCAGGATTTTTCCAGACCAGACTTTGTGTGAATGGTCCTCCCAGGGACACCTTCATCAGACTCCCTGTGAGTACAACTAGTCATCTTTTATGGTAAACTACATCTATTATTGCTAGGGAATGTTCTAACACTGATCTACTATTTCTAATAATAATACTTAAATGCATCTTAATTTTTAATACAGGTCTTTGCATGTTTATTAACAGTATTATGAAGCATCATAGTCTTTGTGTTACATCTGTATGTGTGCTCTAATGGAAAAAATGATGCCTTAAATTTTATTGCTCTACGTCAGTGATTTACTGCAGTTAATTTTATTAACAGTTGCAAAACAAACCTTCCACATTTTCATTTTACTGACCATGCCAGTGCGTCCATCTGCAGGGTTGGGGTAAAGGAGCCGTGTTTGTCAATGGGCAGAACCTTGGACGTCATTGGTTCATCGGTCCCCAGCATTTCCTTTTTCTCCCAGGAGCTTGGCTCAGAAGTGGAGAGAATCAGGTATACCTGTAGATTTTAATTAGACGACACATAATGGTTGTGTTTGACATTAGTTGAGGTGAAGTTTGCCTATGCTTTCAGTTTGTTTTCTAGATTTGTAGCAGGTTGTGTGTGTACCATTTGTTAAGTATTTTTTATGTTCTCTTTCAGATTATTGTTTTTGAGGAACAAAAGGCGGATGACAAAATACAATTTGCTGAAAATCCTGATCATGGAAGGACAATTGATGTTTACAAACTCCCCTTTTGCACACTGCTTTGAAAATAAAAAAACACACACACACACACACACACACACACAGGAGACAGTGTATTGATAGTGGCAGTTAATATCAGTTAAAGCTATTTATTTACTAACCATAATATTTGCAATTTATATTGTGCAACTGTACAGATACATTTTTTCTTCAAACGCTTGGTGAAATGTTGCATCTTGCCATTGAATCTGCTGCCTTAAATTCAACAATGCAACATCGTCTGGTTTGTCTATTTTTCTCATTCAGGATAAACTTTGCTCTGATTAGAAATAATGTGCTTTGAACCTTTGACAGCGTGACACACACTCTTAAGCTTCTCATTGGACCAAAGGCTTGTCCTTTACTCGAGCTATGCTCCCTTATTCACAAAAGACTCCTAACCACCACACACATGCAAATCAACATGAAAGAAAAACTAGTTACCGGAAATGTCATCTTGTCCTTCATAATAAAAAGACAAACATGTGCTACTAGTCAGCATAGAAACATGTCATGTAATATTTTATTGCCTATATGAATATATGAAACTGGGTATGCTTAGGTTGCGAACATAGAGCGTGGAAACAAGACATTAAACCACGCATTCATCCTGTAAAGTGTGCAATTTGTTCTTACGAGTTTATTTTGAAAATAGAAGCCGGAAGTTCTGCAGGTACTTCTAGCTACCTTGATTTTTAAATCTATTCCCTGATGTTCCTGTCTACGGAAATTGCGGAAAGAGCAGAGCACTCGGTCAGTTCAACTTGCAGAAGAGTCCACTACATGCCCTTCACGGTGTCACTGCTGCCTTTCGTCAGTAACTTTATATGAGCTAATATCCTCAGTGAATGAACTGATAAAATTACGACTTTGGAAATGTGAGTATGGCGTTTGTAAGAGCAGCTTCACAGTAGGTAACCTTAGCCTAGCCGAGCTGAGCTGTGGGACTGGACCAGTTCAGAGTAACGTTAGGTTCCGATATTAAGTTTAGCTAAGTTGAGTTTTTATAAATAAAGGTTTGCTTTCGCAACGCAACATGGAGTCATTTGGAGCCACTGGCACCGTTCTTGGATGCTCTGCGGGCATTGCGGTGGGTAGTCTTGTGTTTGCAGCCTACAAACTTGGCTTACTCTACCAGTTGTTTCACAAGGTAGGTTGTCACTACTTAATATGGTAATTATATCCTCCTCCATGCCTTTCAGTTCCTTTCGCCACATGCATTTTTATTGTAAAACACCATTGCACAGATCAGCCATTGCAAATACACCAGCATCATCTATGTATCATTCCGTAGGCTGTCACAGGGAAAGCTAAGCTGCACCCTATATACATAACCTTTCACCAGCCTTGTGGTTTTCTAGCATAAAGGCTATCACAACACCCAGGCGGTGTGATAACACAAAGCCCTGAGGCACGTCACCACTGCAAGCCAGAACAATATGTGATTATTGTCAAATATGAATGGCCTGTGGCCTGAAGAGACAGTGTGACAGGTGACCTTTAGAGGGGCCATCACTCACACTGACAGTTGTTTACCTATGGCAGAGCTTTTTTTCTAGTTTACACCATTGTTTTATATGTTAAAACAGTAACTGCAATTGTCTGAATAGTCTCCTCTCTGACTTGACTATTCTGTCCTCTGACTCACTTCAGACTGAGACGAAGAGCCCACGGCATGGTGGCGAGAGCGTGGCAGAGGTGCTCCGCGCCCACGGGGTCAAGTACCTTTTCACCCTTGTCGGCGGACACATTTCACCTATCCTGGTGGCTTGCGAGAAGGTGGGCATCCGCATTGTGGACACCAGACACGAGGCCACCGCTGTCTTCGCTGCTGACGCTGTGGCAAGACTCTCAGGTGCAGATTTGTTTAACAAGAATAGATGCATCAAAATGTATCTGTGGGTTTTATTTGAACTCATATCAAGTTACCGGCAGTTATGTAGAATAAAGGAATTGGGTGTGCTGCTGCCTTGTTGAAGTGTGTCTTGGTGTAGGCCTTTCCCGCTGCAGATGTTCTGACTTGTCAAACAAAGGTGTAACTAACAGCATTAATAGTGGCTGGATAACATTTAGGTGTTCCAGTGTTTTGGCCCTGGTTTTCCAAACAGTCAAGTATAGTAATACGTCTAGGTAGAACTGTCGCAGTGTCATTGAGTCAGTCGTAGCGTGTTTTTGGGGCCTGGTTAATAGCTAGCTAGTTAATATCTTGATTGTCTCCCCACCAGGCACTGTTGGAGTAGCAGCAGTGACTGCCGGCCCAGGCCTCACTAACACAGTGACAGCAGTGAAGAATGCTCAGATGGCTGAATCTCCATTGTTGCTCATCGGAGGAGCTGCTGGTACACTTCTTCAGGTGGAGTTGATTCAAACACTGATGTGAATGTGCAGGTAGAATAAAACAACAGTACAAAATAGTCTAATAGAGATGTGGGTTCTGCTGCTGGAAGACACAGTGAATGTTAAAAGGGTTAAACTTCATCTGAACTTTTCTCAGCTTCAATGTCTAACCTCTCCATCAACTGGCACAGGGCAGAGGAGCGCTGCAAGATATTGACCAGATGTCTCTCTTCAAGCCACTGTGCAAGTTCTGTGCCTCCATAAGGACCATCAGGGAGATTGTGCCTACTGTCAGGAAAGCCCTGGCCATCGCCCAGTCTGGAACTCCTGGTCCTGTTTTTATCGAGTTCCCCATCGACACGCTCTATCCCTACCATCTTGTGTCCAAAGAGTTTGGAGTTAAGAACACTCCCAAAGGCCTGATAGGAAAAATTGTCTCATGGTATGTTATTAGCATGTCTTGTGTACACTGTACATTACTCTTTAGTATATGTTAAATACAAAAAAAATACAATAAAGTTATGCTGTGTGAGAATAGAGGACAGTTGAATTACACTTGAATAACTTTAAAAACAGCAACTTTATAAGGCAATTGACATAAATAAATAGCCTTGAAAATATACCTTCCAAACTAACCTTTGGCTCAAGTCTGACTTGGCTCTTGTATATAGCATGGAAGTTTTTCTCTCTTCAAATAAAGGCAAACACGCAGTAATGTGATGCTCTGATTTCTTGTAAGGTACCTCAATAACCACCTCATGAACCTGTTTGCTGGAGCCTGGGAGACCAGAGATGTGTCTCCGCTTCCTGTGTACATCCCGCAAGCCACCGACGATCAGGTAAGATTGCTCAGACACATCACAGTGAGTCCTTCTCGATACGTGCGTAGTGTTAGAGATGACTAAACCGCTGTTTTAAAATGTTTTTGCTTTCAATGCAAATCAGGTACAAAAGTGCATAGAGCTGGTGAGTCGAGCCAAGAAACCTGTTATTCTGTTGGGCAGCCAAGCAACACTACCCCCAACGCCGGTCGATGACATCAGGTGTGTTAGAGCTTAAAAATGTGCAAAAATACTTAGTTTTCCGGTCAGCATTTGAATAGCATTGAAGTGATGTTTTGTCATTTTATTTAGCGAGACTCATCTGTTCAAAAACGCTTTACAGGAAGGCATTGGAGGACCTGGGCATTCCCTGCTTCCTTGGGGGAATGTCCCGTGGCATGCTGGGAAAAGACAGCCCCATACACATCAGACAGAACAGGCGAGATGCTCTGAAAGAGGCTGATTTGGTGCTCTTAGCAGGTCAAGCATACCATCTTATAGTTTTAACAGCAGTAACATAGCTTTTTGACAGGGGATATTTAATTGTCAAACATAAAACAAAATTGCAGAACAAGTTAACGTACAGTAATTGTCTTAATTAATTAACACTGTTATATAGTGCAAAACATTTCAGCTATTGAATATTTAATAATTCATTCATTTAATATGTCCGTAATTATTTTAATACGTTATTGAAGGTTTCATAGAATGACAGCTGGTCTTAGCCACAAGGAGCCAATTCCAGCTGTTGTCTGCTGAAATACAGTCAGATGTTGAACTGTATTTTCAAAGTAACCTGTGTCTCCAGAACTCCTGGAGAAATGTTAACCTTGTGTGTTGTGTTTGCAGGCACTGTTTGTGACTTCCGGCTGAGCTATGGCAGAGTTCTTAACAGACGCAGTAAGATCATCGCTGTCAACAGAGATAAGACGCAGCTGCTGAAAAACTCCGATATGTTCTGGAAACCAACTATAGCAATTCAGGGTACGTTCACAAGCTGCTATGATGATGCAGGATAATAATTAAAGTAACAATGTGTCATTGGATTTTAAATCACATTTTAACAGTGTGGCTTTTTTTCATTTAAGAAACAGTTAGATCCTTCCTCGCCTTGGAAGATTCCAAAAAATTGTTGCATGCTTTTGTTTTTTCACAATTGGACTATTTACTAGTCTACCCAAAAAATATATTGATAAGCAGCAAAAGTTTTAACTGAAACTGGAATGAGAGAACACATCCTCCAGTTTTAGCTTCTCTGCACTGGCTTCCTGTAGCATTTAGAACTGATTTTAAGTTAATTTACTTGTTTTTAAAGCACTTCATGGTTTAGCACCTTCTTATCTATCCGACCTTTTATCTGATTATATTCCAACTCCTCTGTCAGGTGCTGGTATGCTTAATGTACCAAGAAATGAGAGTAAAAAGTTTGGTGAAGAAGTGTTCTGTTTTTACGCACCAATGGCTTGGAACAAACTCCCATTACAAATAAGATAAGCTACCTCTATAGAAGCAGCTCAATATGTACTTTTATGCTTTTGCTTTGAGCTGATTAAACACACTTTTATTTATGTATTTATTTGATTTTATAGCCCTGTCTGCCACCTTTTTCCAGTTTTAATAACTGTGTTTTGTGCATGAGGCATATGTGCATGCATGAGCTGCATTTTATGTATGAAAGATGCTATACAAATAATCATCATCATCATTATTATTGTTATTATTTTAGATCACTGGTGAAGAATATGCATTTTAAATGTATTGTTTCACACTTTAGTTCAGTAGTTGGAGTATAAAACGTAAATATTGGTCTATTTTAGGTGACGCTGGTTCAGTCTTAGTGCGGCTTTCCAAAGGCCTGAAGGGTTTTCGCTGTCCAGAGGAATGGCCTCAGAGCCTCAAAGCAGGAGATTTGACCAAAGAAGACATAAACAGGTAAGCAGAGGAGATGATCCCTGGTCTCTGTGAGTGTTGTTGACTATAGACTGTGGTGTCGACATGCACTGTAAAACTGTCACCTGGACACCATTTCTTCTGAACTTACACTCTGATATTGATGATTAAAAAATGTCCTGATTCGTTAAATCTTTAATACTAGAACGCCAACAGAATTTCATTAATGAATGTAATGTTAATCTAAATGCAACTACAGCAAAATAATTTCTTCATCACATAAACTGGAGTATTTTTCATTTCAGGGCTAAAGCTGATGAGAAGACTGAACGCCACTTAAATCCCTTGAAAGTCCTCCACTGTGTGGATGAGCTGATGGCAGAGGACAGCATCATTGTTGCAGATGGGGGTGATTTTGTTGGAAGTGCTGCATACATAATGAGACCAAGAGGACCTTTGCGTTGGCTAGATCCAGGTTAGAGGTCATAGACCAAACAACTATTTGTTTATGAAGAACTGTTGTGATACAACAATGGATGTTTTGGTTATTTAAATGTGAGAGTAGAGGGCTTGTAATGTCAACAGTGTGAAAATGAAAATAATAATTTCAAGTCAGCTGATTTTTTAACTTCAGTTGTTGTTTTTCACTTTTTTGTCAGAACATTAAGAGGTTAAAGGAGTACACAGAACACTATGTACTCCTGTACTACTGTTGTAGTATCAACATAATCATGTAAAGTCCATATTATAGCAATGTTTTCTGAGGTTAATCATACTTTCTTTGCAGTCATAGTGACAGAACTTTACTGTTCCTTGTCCCTACAGGAGCTTTTGGGACCCTGGGAGTTGGAGGAGGATTTGCACTGGGGGCAAAACTGTGCCGGCCTGAATCTGAGGTATAGTATTTCTGAAAGAGATTTTTCTGATCATCTGTTGATCTTTTCCCTTTTATGAATGAAATACTACTTTATGTGCTTTTCAGGTGTGGATAGTGTATGGTGACGGCTCCTTAGGATACAGTGTTGCAGAGTTTGACACATTCACTAGACACAAGGTAAAATCACTCATCACAATATTTACATTGTATTTACATAGACATTTTTATTATGCATTATAAACATGCCATACTACCAAATATAGTTGGCTCACACTCACGTAGTCTGTCCCTGAGAAGAGGTCTAATCAGCCAAAATAAGTGAAACCACGGATGTAAGATATCAGTCCTATAAAATCCTTCCTATATAATAGAAAGGCATCAGTGCCGTATACGTGATTTATATATTGTATCATGTATTTAATGTGTAATTGACTAATTGATCACTACCACACAATTTGTCTACAGGAAACTCTTCATTACATTACATGATTGTAATGTAACATTTTAAAATAGACTTCACAAAAATATGTAAGTCTGGCAGCTGTAATGCTAAAATAGACTTGAAACCCTGTTATCAATAAAGGGATCTCTTATCTTAAAGACTTTAGCAAATCAATAAAGGCATTCTCTTTGTAGCGAAAACATGGAGTTTTTTTTCCTTCTAAATGTTGCTCTTCTTTTTTCCCCTAGACCCCAGTTATAGCTGTGGTGGGAAATGATGCATGTTGGAGTCAGATATCCAGAGAGCAGGTTCCTATACTCGGCAGCAACGTGGCGTGTGGCCTTGCGTTTACAGGTACATTTTCTGCATAGGATGTTGTACGGCCGCTGTGCTTGCTGAATTTATATTTATGTATGATGACTGGACAGTTACTAACTGGCAAATCTTCTTTTCCTCTCCTTTTTGCAGATTATCATTTAGTGGCCGATGGTTACGGTGGTAAGGGCTACCTTGTAGGGCGTGAGGACGAGGACAGGCTAAAAGACATCATCAGACAAGTTCAGAGGGAGACCAAGGAGGGCAAAGCTACACTTCTAAATGTTCTGATAGGGAAGACCAACTTTAGAGAGGGCTCTATCTCTGTATAGGACAAATGTGATTTCTTAAAACGGTCTTCTTCCTTTACCTTAGGCTCTTTTATAGACTTTACTATGAGGCTCATGAGGGGTTTCAGAGAATAGGAATACTGTTGGATACTGAGTAGAGCCCAGCCCTGACCAAACCTATGCTAATCCTTTGTGCCCTTAAAGCCATATTTCACTTTGGTAAGAGGAAATGACTTTACAGTTTGCTGATCTCCTTTAAGAGTTAATGAACCGTCAGTTGCGAAATCAATCTATTTCCCAAAAAAATCCTACTAGTAACACATCTGCAAACACCAGTCATAACTCTGTTATATCAATATTAAGTGTGACTGTTCATGCAGTCACTATTATTATTATTCATAGGTACTTAATGTATGACCATATATTTATTTGAGTTATTTACTATTAAGTTCTACTAGTAAAAATACTACAGCTCCAGATCTGCCAGCCTAGAAGCTAGACTTTGTTGTGCATCTTGCTACTTTTCAGGTTCATGTTGTGCTATTCACAATAATTTCTGCATTTTAAGAAGGGAAAGAGTAGAGTAAAAGTAAAAAAATATAGCTTTGTTTGGGGATTTTCACCTTTCTAGGAGCTTGGGGTTAGATTTTTGACCTTCAGACGGCCTGTTTTAACTTCAGATATTTCTTGCAAATAAACCAGTGACAGAAAATCTTTTGTGAGAGAAAGCATTGGTTTAAATTATCAAATGTGACCAGTATGCCTTTTCTCCTGTTATCAAATGACCACAAAGCCTTTTTATGAGGATACATAGCTGTAAAATTCTTTATCGCTTGGTGATTTGGGATAAAAATGTGTTAAATGGAAAATAGTTTCTGAATGTCTAAGATTGACAAATGGTATGCCTTTTCATGTTTGATTGTATCTTCGAATACATTGATATGTATAGATTGAAAATGTGTCTGCTGATTCAGTTATGTATTTAAATGATATTCAATACTAACTTGTATGCATTGATGTGGGCTATCATATAAAATATGCCTATACACAATATGTATTGCACTATAATTATAGCTTATTTACTCACCAGGTGGATCAACTCACTCCAAAATATATTGTTTTATTTGGTACTTTGAGGAAGTTGTATTAAACTTGATCATGAAATGTTAATTTGGATAAATTCTCAAGTAAATTGGGGTTAAAAGTGAGAAATGAGTGGCCTTGTGGTTATTTTTATTCACATTGTTGTTACAATGACGGCAACCATACAGTATAACCATAACTTCTATTAGTTTTGTTCTACAGTTGCACTATTTATAGTTAAGTGGATTGACTTAAGATTGTGTTAACACAGCTACCCAAACATTCATTTTTGGTTTATATGTTTTTTAAAATGCTGTAATTTGACTATAGACTGTATGTGCAGGGAACTCATTGTACATTCAGGGAAACTGACAACTGCTTTTTTTAAACTTGGCCATTTAGTTTGAAATACATTTTTCACATCATCTCTGTTTAGATTTAAGAAAAATTTGACTTGAGTCTGTGCAAAATTGTTGTTTAATATCGCTAACTGTTCTTGCAACTTGAAACTGCAAATCTGAAACATAGAGGTCATGTATATTATAAAATGTGGTATAATGAGGTAGGACTTCTGCTGTACTGCATCCCCTCATGTGTCCTGTAGTTTGGAAGCGCTACAATGCATAAATAGCGCACCCATGGTGCAAGGGGGCCCACAGTCTCAAGGTCAATATTTTCTGCACTGATTAACTATCAGCACTCAGTTACAGTAGTCTCAGTTGTGGGCTCCATAAATATTTTGTCCCCTGGAATTGTTATGGTCTAATTCTGCTAGCCGTACAGAGAGAAACCACCCGCACACTGGTTCAGGTTCAAAGTGGTATGTTGCCTTGAGTTTGAGATGTCACATGTTCTTTACCATCAAATTGACACAAAAGCATTAGCGTTTTAGTTGCACCTGACAAAACATAAAAGCTGGTTTACAGCAGAAAAAAACACTGAACGATTTAAAGTTTTGTCATGGGGGGCTGTGGCTTATGTCCGGAATACTTCAAAAATGCAGTTTTCATTTGAAACAGAAGATGGCAGACTAGTAGTAGTTTTACCAAAGCAGTCTATGCTGACGTGTTCCTGTTTAGCATAGCTTTTGGGGGGCAACCATGTGTTTGTATGGCCATCTGGGGAAAGGTAAACTGTGTAAAATGTATTTTTCTCAATTATAGGAAACTCTGGCCGTTAAGTTAATATATTAAATGAGTTTGACAGGCCTTGCTGAAAGTTCAGATTCAATTTATTTTTGTTACATATGTATAAATGATATTGTCTAATCATGAGGCCCTAAACACAAAGACAGATTGTCTGATTTCTGATTATTTCTGAATGATATTAATGTTACATATATGATACATATGATTCCACAGTTTTCTGAATAATGCTACACTTGTGCATTATTGTAACACTGGTGCAGTGTTATAACCGGTTTTAACAGCTATTGGTGTAAACAACAGTTTAGAAATCTGTAGCTAGCCTCTTCCTGGTTTTTGACGTCACACAGACTGCTGATTTCAAGAGCTTTTTGTAAATCTCAATTACCGCCGTGATTTGTTGTTTTGTGTTAATGCTACATTTTGTGATGCTGTGTAGGATATGTATATAAGTATATGCATATAAAAATACAAAATATTACATCATTTTTACCATCAGAATGTCAAGGGGTCTACAGTCCGGAAGCATGCTTGATCTTGACATAGATCATGCATGAAAATCACGACCTTTTCTGTGAGTGCACTCTGATGTGCACTGTTCCAGTATCTAACTGATGTGTTTTTTATTAATTTTTATTGATGGATAGGTCTGCTTTGATGTGTCTGTTTTTGCTATGCTGCAAGACAAACTTCCCACGCTGGACAAAGAAGGCTATTGTTAGTTATTCTTACAGCACCTGAAGGCATCATAAGACCGGGCGCACATCACCACAGGCGGTGACTTAAACAGCTCCGCTAAACTTAAACATAGACGGGCAATGTAACGTTATAGAATATTAGCCGGTAGAGTCGAGAGCTTTACTGCAGTACAACGGTACTCTGTGGAAATTAACCGATATAATTTTACGCAAGATTGGTTAATAACAGATATATACCGCTTTAATTAAGCTTTTTAGTTAAGTGTTGTCCTAATGACAAGTGACTAACGTTAAAAGAGAGGCAGATTCGTGCTTTTAAAAACATCGAAGATAACGTTAACGTTAGCTAACTTGAGTTAGCTCAAAGAAAAAAAAAAAAAAAACTAACGTTAGCCTAACGCCGGTTGTTAGTTGACATTAGTCGGTGATAAAGTACCTTAACGTTAGTTATCACCAGGTTAGCATTATCGTTACCACTATCAAAAAGCTAAAAGCTCCGACCTAAGTCGATTTCCAAGTTATTTAACGTGGCTCACGTTAATACAGAATCGACTTTACCGGACTTCGACTCAAAAGGATTTGTACTTGAACACAAATAAACACTGAGCATTAACTTACCATCGAGGTAAGTCATGGGTTTCTATACGTTAGCTTATTAAGTAGTTAGCGTTAGTTAACGTTGTATCTAACTGTGTGAAATGTTACTTGTAATGTTGTAGTTGATAACGTTATAAAAGGTGGACTGGGTTAACCCCAACTGTAAGTTACATTAAATACTAATCGTTAACTAACTGCGCATGGCTTGCTGTTGAACCGGCGGGGAACTGACTTAGCTAATTGTTAGAGTTAATTAAAAACAATAGGCAAACACCAGCTCTTTAACAAGAACTAGCTAATGTCACTTTGTTTGTTACAGTTTCCCGGAACAATAACCCTACTGTAGCATATGTCACCAGGCAAGTAGTGTTGCCAGGCGGAAAGACATTAATTATTACCTGTGTCCAAAATGAGAAATCCCTGACACACGGACCCGGCTGGGATTTATTTATTTGTCAGCTATATTTTCCTATATGACAGGGTACCAGAGGGAAACTTAACAAATGACTGCCAGTACGCACGTGACAGCCATTAGTATCCATCATTGTTGTGTTGTTTATTGTTAGCTTGTTTAAGTAGTGATCAGAGTTAGCTTGTGGTTGACCATATTTGTGTTGCAGGAGCTGAATGGCCTCTGTTGCTGCAGTGAAAACCGAGAAACGACCTGCAGCTGATTCTCAGGATGCAGACTCAAATGCAAAAAAGCCCAGGTAAGCTCAGGGGCTGCTTTGGAACCACCTGCACACACTGCCCATGACTCATGCATCCATTTAATCAACAGGGCCAAGTCTTTGCCAGTTCCAAGTAAATGTAGGTTTTAGTTTGTTGCAGCATGTCAGTGCTTGAAAAATGTTTGTTTCACCTTCATGCTGTCGGAATCATCTTTGGTTCCACAATCACTGAATCTCTGCCTGCCACAAAGGAAACTGCTGCCCAGCCTGAAGACTAAGCGAGCCCCTGAGCTTGTCCTTGTGATTGGCACGGGGGTAAGCTCTGCCGTGGCCCCTCAGGTCCCTGCACTCCGCTCCTGGAAAGGCCTCATCCAGGCCTTGCTTGATGCAGCCAATGACTTTGACCTTCTAGAGGAGGAGGAGAGTCGGCGTTTCCAGAAGCACATGCAGGAAGATAAGAATTTGGTGCATGTGGCCCATGACCTCATTCAGAAACTTTCCCCGGTAAGTCTTTTTCCTTGCCTTTTCCTTTCTCCACCACCCAGTCGCACATATACAAACACATGGCAGACAGACTGCCAGCACGCTGTCCTTTCCTCAGCCAGGGACATTTTGTTTCCACTTTCATGGCTTGAGATACGACATCTTAGCCTTATCTCATTAAAAGACCAATAGCTAATGACACAAGGCTCGTTTGTGGGACTTTTTCTTCTAAATGAAGTTTGTTTAATACAGACAAACTTTTTTACTCAGGTGATGCATAATCAATCACACATGCAAGAAGCAGGCTGTGTTTTCTGTTTCTCATTTAGTGGTGTTTCAAAAAACACCAGTGCTTCAGGGCTCCCTTAAAAAACACCCTGATGAAGGCAGGTGACCTGAAGCAGATTAGTGTTTTATTTCTTAAAAAATGATACTGGGGAATATTGCAGAAAGTTTGGGTAATCTTACTACTGATTCTGTTATACTTGCATCAGCAAACAGCAGCCTGCCCTGGAAAGAACTTCCTAGTCCTATGTTAAGTGAAGCAGTGGCAACTTTTAAATGTTCCTATTATTAAGTCTGGGGTTCACTTTGTGCATCAAAATTTAGCTGAAAACTGTAAATTTCCCAAAGAGAAATGAAAATACAAAAATACAAATGAGACTCCTGGTTTAATACGAGAAACTGAACCTGCGCCTTGTAGTGCGGAAATAAGGGCTGTAAGGCTGCATGATTGATCATATTAAATGGTTATTTCAGTTCATACCTCTATGCATTCTCATCCTTAGAATTCATGCATATTTGTATTAAAAAGGAGATCCATTGTAGCACACCAAGCAGTCTCACTTTCTCCCTAAAGTTGCATCAACAGAGACCAACATGGTTAAAAAGAAAGCTTTTGGGAAACTCGCTGGTGAGGGTGTGAAATAGAAAATACATTACTTTAACTCCAGTTCTGATAAAATCATTGTGCTTGTACACTTAAAATGAGTCACATTGGATTTAAAGACAATGCTGACAGCAATCTATGCTGTCACAGTCTGGGCATAGCATATAGATAGATAGATACATACATACATACATATTCCATCAACCTGCAGATGAAAATGTTTCTGTATATCTAAATTCTGACACATTTACATGATGGACCCAAGTGCTCATTGTCCCTTCTTAAATAATATTAATATAAACAGCACAATATTTTGTCATAGTCACTTCACAGCTTAATACCACCTAAACTGAATGAACCAATCAAGCCTACCAGAACTACCAGAAACGTCCTGCCACCTGACCATACAAACACAGCTAGATCCTTGACACTGGGCATCACTGTCCCTGATCAGCAGTCACAGGCCCAAAAATACAAATATTTTAAAGAAAATTGTACATTTTGAGTGCAGAAACACATATTCTCCCTTGTTACAGCACCCTGCTGCTCGAAACCAGTTGGATAATTACAAATGAATTGCAATTTTGGATTTCCGTATAACTTAGTTCTCTTCCTATTGGAACGGTCTGGTCTGGAGCAGGG